GAAACTGGCGTAAAAGCAGCCACTATGAACATCGACCTTTTCATTTGACTTCCGGATGAACTCTCGCTGAACTCCGTAGGCTCGAATGCTTGAAGCTCCGGCTACGGTCTCAGAAAAGTGGTCATAAATCGGTGACCTAGTCGTTGATTCCAACCGTTTCAGCTGCCTTGAGGTGCCGATGTACAGTCGCTGTACGGCGAGGTACAGCACCAGAATGGGCAGGACCGCCCCAAGAATGACCGGCGTCTCCAGGCTGATCATGAAGAGAGCCACCAGCGCCCGAAGAAGTTGCATCGCCGCCACGCGGACGTTCATCACAATGGTCGAGTCTGCGACCTCAATGTCCTTGGTGAAGCGGTTCAGAATTCGGCCGATGGGCGTGGTGTCTAATGGAGAAAACAAAAAATCAAAACTTATCAGCTTTTAAAAATTTATCAAATTTTTCCACTTACCAAAAAACGCCATCGGCGCGAGGAGAATCCGCTCGAGCATCGTCTCGTGAAGTCGCTTTGAGGCCCGTATGCAGGCGACACTTAGCGCCAAGGAGCTAAAAATGCTGGCGGCAATTTCGCCGACGCCAAAAGCGGCATATCCGGCCAGTCGCTCATTTCGAAGCTCGGTGTCGTTTGCTTTGGCCGGATCAAGGCCATCGTTTGCCCACTCACTCAGCCAGAGGGAGCTAAAAACCTGAAAGACGTTGGAGGCGGCCATGCTGGCGAAGATTAATAAAACAATGGTAAGGCCAATGGCGCGGATGTACTGCAGGTAGACGGTCCGTTTGACGGCCCCCGTTTGAGCCTTCTCCTCGGTGATCAGTTTTCCAACAGCTTNGGCTTTTTAACTTCCTCAGTTTTTAAAGCCTTGCTCTGTTGCAGCTGCTCTGAAACGGTTTCAACTTTGAATTTTTGTTTTGGTTTTTCTTTAACTTTTTCTTCTTCTTTTTCCTCTTCCTCCTCCTCAACACTGCTCATGTGTTCCGCCATAAAGGCGGCAAAGTCCCCGTCTTTCTTCGCCATCAACTCCTGGAACGTCCCCTTCTCTGAGACCGTCCCTCCCGGCTTCAGCACCACAATTAGGTCCACCTGATCCAGAATTGACACCTGATGTGTGACTAGAATCCGAGTTTTTCCTTTAAGAAGTCCTTTCTCGCTTCCGATCACCTCCTCAAAAAGCCGCTTTCCAACGTGGGCATCCACGGCACTGAGCGGGTCGTCAAGGAGGTAAATATCGGCAGCGGAGAAGACCGCCCGAGCGAGGCTGATTCTCGCTTTCTGTCCTCCGGAAAGGTTAATTCCCTTGGCGCCCAGCTCGGTTCGATCTCCGTCGGCCAGTATGGCAATGTCCGGCTCCATGCAACAGGCGCGAATTACCTCCTGGTAACGAGGTTCTTCAGCGTTTTCAAAATTCGAGGTAAAGACGACATTCGCCTTGAGGCTGGCATTCTGAATCCACGCCTGCTGGGGAACGTAGGCGATCCTCCCGTTGACATTTACATTTCCTTTTATCTTTTCCATATCGCCAAGAATTCCACTCAAAAGAGATGATTTTCCCGAGCCGACTGTTCCGACGATGGCCACCAGCGAGCCGTGGGGAACGGCGAAGTTGATGTCTTTTAAGGTAGGATTTGATGGGCTGTTCCAGGTGAAACTAGCACCACAAACTCGAATGGCGCATTCTGGGTCGTAGGAATGGCTGATCGCCTCTGGGTCTAGTTCAGCGGCATTCAGGTAGCCATTTAGGCGACGAATTGAGACGAGGCACTAAAAATGTTGTACAAAAATGTTTAGAAAATGATCATCAAAATCTTTTCCAACTTACAGTCGCTCCATTGGACAAAAACACCGGCAACTGCCCCATCGGCCCCTTGATGATGTTAAAGAGGGCCAGCGAAACAAAGGCCTTATTTGGATCAAGAACATTTCCATCCAGGACGTAAAGTGCAAAAGTGAAAAAGCCCACCAAGAAAGGCGTGGCCGCCCAGGCGAAGAACATCGACCCAGTGAGGTAGGCAATCCGGTAGAGCTGGGCACACTCTCGAGCCCTTAAACTGAGCACCTTTTGAGAGAAAGCTCGCTCCCAGGCGTACAACTTGAGCACTTTGATTCCACTGAGAAGCTCGCTCATCAACTTCGACCGGCGGTCCTTCTCCGCCATGACCAGCTTTTGCCGCCCTTGAATTCGGCCACTAATCGCCGCATTGACGGGCAACATTAGCAGCATAATTACCAAGCCAGCTAATGAGGGCCAGCCAACCTGCGCCCAAAGCAGAGCAATGGCAAGGCCAAATTGAAGTGGGGCCGCCCAGACTGAATTTGCCAGCAGCAGAAAGTCGGTCACCTTCTGCGAGTCCACGGCCATGATGTTGGTGATCTCTCCGGTGGAGTAGTTCCGTCGGCCGAGGGTGGAAAGGCGAAGACTCTAAAAAGTAAATTTTAAAATTAAAAAAAACTTTAAAACTTAGGTTCACCTTTTTGTAGATCGTCGAGACGAGACACTGCTTCACTCGAAGCACAA